CATTATACAAAATGTCATCCTCGTTGTTCAGGGTGACTTTAGGAAGGAGCTCGCAATAATGCAAAGAAACTGAGTGAAAACCAGTTCAGCCTACAGATCTCCTCCAAACTCAGGCTGCAAATTCAAAGGAGTCTCCCATGAGAACTGGGGGAAATTCTTACAGGGGCATCCCAACGGGGCTGGAAAGTCATATCCAGCTGTTCTGATTCTGTCTCTGGGATTTGTGCAACATCCCTTGCATAGTTCATGGATATGAACCCTCTCTTGCTCATGTTTGCAACCCCTCTGTGTATGAACATCTGAGCTGTATCACTCGGTGAAGCGTTCCCAGCACTGTACCGTTGATGAATCGTACCATGTTCTTGCTTTTAACCCACGTTTGCCCCTTGTCTTTTGGTAGAATCAGCCCTCCTCCCTTTCCATGCTGGACTTGCTACACGTGGCTCGTGACATTGCTTGTGGGTGTCAGTACCTGGAGGAGAACCACTTCATTCACAGGTAGGTGGGTGCCTCTGTGTCAGCACGGACACGGCTTGCACCCGGGCCAGCACCGACGCGTAATGCCCTGCTTGGTATGTTTATGTCCTGCTGCACTCTAGTGGCTGGATACCTTTAAACAAGGTAGAGGCAATCAGAATAATGGAAGCAATTAACAAAAAGGCTGCTATAAACCAGGTTGCGGAGGGCTGTAGTTTTACCAAGGATGTGGAGCTCTGTCTCAGTGCCTGCGCTTGCAGCCTGTTTGGCTTCTCTGCAAATGGACACACAGCCGTGTGACAGACATCTTCCACGCTCTCCCTGTTGTAAATGTTGCTTACTGCCTTTCTGCTCATTCCGGAACCCGTTTCTTCTCCCTCTTGCAGAGCAGCTGTACACGTACACCCTATGACTATTGTTACCTGCTCCTGCAGAACAGGGCGCTTGGCAGGCATCCCAAAATTCTGCCCATAGTATTGTGTAGGGATGAGGAGAGAGAGGTTGTAGTTCACTCTTTTGAAAGAGTTACCCACAGGGTGTGCCACCACATTCCTCAGATTCCAAGGTTCACTTCAGCCCAACAGAGGTGAAGCTGGAGCTTTACCTGCATGGGCAGATTCAGGCCCATACCTTCAGTCTTCAAAGCGACACCTGCACGCCTGTTGTTGTTCCTGTCTCTGACAGTCCGACACCCATTTGACAGTATTTGAGCGAGCGTGGCACTAACAGATCGGTGGATCACTGCCCTGACAGCTTGATGTTGGGAAAGGTACATTGCTGAAATCAGCCCCACTGCCTGCAGCTCCTGAGAGGCTTTAAAATAGCTCCTGGGGTGAAGGGAGGCTCGCAGGAGACCCGTCCTTTCAGCGGGAAGATGTTACGTCAAGTTTAAACGAGGAAATGTTGAAGAGCAGAACTGCTCCTGCTGTTGGGGTAGTATGCAGTGTGGGACATCTCTTGTTATCCATGAACACTGACTTTCTGGCTGTCGGGGGCTCTCTGCAGCCCAAGAATGTAGGTACTATTCTTTGTTTTCCTTTTGGCTTGCAAAATTGTCATATGATTAAGCGGTTCTTCTCTTTCTATTGCTTTTCTTCCCTTTCCTTGTAGGGATATTGCTGCCAGGAACTGCCTCCTTACCTGTCGAGGGCCTGGGAGAGTGGCTAAAATTGGAGACTTTGGAATGGCCCGGGATATATACAGGTAGCAGAGCTAAGCCCAGGGTATCTGCAAGTGGAAGCTTTCTGAAATGAGGAAGGAGGGGTGTTTGCACAGGGCTCACATGCTGCTCTGCGTAGCCCCAGCAAGGCGAGAGTGCAGAGATCCCACCCTGATGAACCCCAGCTAATGCTTTTTTGGTGCTTGCCTTCGCCTGTAGTTTAACCATGCTCTGGAGACTTTTCCCACTCCTGACAGGTGCCTTCTGAGTAACGAAGTCTGATGGTCATGGAAGGTGTTTTTCCTGCCTCTTGTACTCTGTCCTCGGTTTCTTGTCTTTGCTGTCTCCACGCTGAATGGCATTGATGTGCCCTTTTGTTTTGTGGTCCCAAATCATTCTGAGTTTAATCTCTCTCCTTGATACCACCCCTGCCCCTTTGCTTTGGAGTCATCAGTAAATCTCCTCAATTTACTGCAGATAAAGGAGGAAGGTGCAGAGGAAGGTCAGGAAAATGTAATCACCCAAACTGGAATTCAGCCAGGACACAGGGTTAACTACTCGGGAATGAGCTCCTGCAAGAAATGCCAGAAAATCTTTAATGACCACGAGCAGTCAGGGCTGCAGTTGGGTTTCTCATCTTCCAGGTAGCACCTCCAGAAGTGCAGTACCTTGTCCTCCTGCTGTGCTGAGGAATTGATTTGCCTCTGACTCGGTGGAAGGGCTGCCTTGTACTCAGTCACCCACACTGTTTACTCCAGTGCCTTGCCACCTCTTTTTTCCTGCTTGGGGATTCTCCTGTGCAATTACTAATCCAGGCTTGGCTCTGCATAGCTCGAGCTCTGACAGCGTCGCAGCCTGAGGTGACACACACAGCACGCTATTTTCAAAAGCCCGAGTACATCAGAGTTGCTCCCCCCCTTCACAAAGAGCCCCGCTCTGCCCCACTGTCAGATGGGACTCTGCTGGGACAAAGCAGCATCTGTCGCATTCACACAACTGGCAGAACCGACTGCCAAAATGAACGCTTTGGTGCTGAGTTTTCAGAGGTGCCTTTGAAGTCTGCCCATGTGTCTGTGTCCAGGAATATCCCTTGGATGCTCAGGCTGTGCAGTTACAAGCAGCAATACCAGCCTGCATGAGCAGCCTCCTGCAGCTGCCAGCACAGGATCTGGGGTTTGTGGGTGGTTTTAAATGATGACACTGAAGTACAGGGTGTCAGGAGCACGGGAGGTGGTCTTTGTACTATGGCTCCAGCACTAATGGCCACGCATCCTCATCCACCCCTGGATCTCGCTGAGGGATTTGGATTTTCCCTGCTTTAGACTGAGTACATATAGGGCAGGCTGGGTTTATTTTTGGTTGGGATGCTCAAGGTGACCATATGTGAGGTGAGGCGGCGACCTTGCCGTGGCTGGCAAGTGCAGGAGGATGGCTCTGCCAGCAGCAGGTCACTCTGTGAGAAGTTCACCGGGAGTGTGCACACAGAGAAGGACAGCTCGGGGTCACTGGGTCAAGCCTGAAGTGTGGGAGATCAGAGCAGTCCTTCCCTGGTCTGCCCGTCGCCACTGGTTTTACAAGAGGGAACAGGTCTCTTCATCATTTTCTCGGCCATGCTGTTTTGCCTAAATTAGTCTCTCCTCTGGCTCATAATTTTAATGTTTGTAATTATAAAAATCTCAAATTAATGATGTTTTCTGAATTCTTGGCTGACTCTGCTTTGTTTGTTCTTTGCAGAGCCAGCTACTATCGGAAGGGTGGGTGTGCAATGCTGCCTGTCAAGTGGATGCCTCCCGAGGCTTTCATGGAAGGGATATTTACATCGAAAACAGACACGTGGTGCGCTTCCTTTCCTTCTTTGCCCGCTCAGTCTGTCTGTGTTGTAACCCCTTTTGTCAAGTGTGAATATTTGGTAAAAGAACACATGTTTTTGTTCATTTCTCCTTAACTAAAAAGGCAAGCTGGGTCTTTCAGAGCCAGTAATCTGGGAAGAGAAAGGGGAACAAGAGGATGAGACCTGTGCAAAGGCAGGTGCTGAGCAGGCAGGGGAGGGAGGCTGAGGCTGTTGCAGGTGCTGCTTTGCTACTACAGGTTAGTTCCACGCTGAGGAAAGCAGCACAGGCAAGGAAGGAGCCATCTGGAAAAGGGTATCCTGTGTCATGGCTGCCACCTGTCTCAGCACCACCACAGTTTCCCATTGCTGCACTCAGCTGTCCCCAGTTTTAATCAACAAGGTTTATCAGCAGCTGACCGGCTGAATGGTTTGGAGGGGGCCCTGTACCAGCCATTGCCCCCAGGGCTTTGCAGGCTGCACCGCCCTGTAAGAGAATATTGAACTCTGAGCTACAGGTGGGGGTTCACTGGGTTGTTATTTCACACGAGGTGGATAAATCAAGTGGATAAATAAACATCTGTTGGAAGTGGCCAGGCCACTGCTCCATGCAGTCCTGTCTCTAGTGGATGATGTCTCAGACAAGCACAGCCTGACTTTGCGCAACCTGGTCTAGTGGAAGGTGTCCCTGCCCGTGGCAGGGGGGTTGGAACTGGATGGTCTGTAAGGGCCCTTCCAACCCAAACCCTTCTGTGATTCTGTGACTTGTTACATCCAGTTGAACAGGGCTGAGTACAAGGGCAAATCGAGCAGATTTACCTACCCTTATTGAGGACTTCACTCAGTTAACAGCCAACTATTGGCATCTATCAACTGACTCCAAGTCCGCTGTTACAGCTGTGCAGCTTATTTGTGTCCGAGTCCTGCAGCCGTGATTTCCACAAGCCTCCTGAGCGCAGACTGCAGGGAGCAATGCTGGTGGCACTGCATCTACAGGCACTGCCCCATAGTGATGGTCATTCCCGTATCCTTCACTTTGTTTTCCTTCTGTTCTGTATTCAGGTCCTTTGGCGTATTGCTGTGGGAGATATTCTCTTTGGGATACATGCCGTACCCTAGCAAAAGTAACCAGGAGGTTCTGGAGTTTGTAACCAATGGAGGAAGGATGGATCCACCTAAAAACTGCCCTGGCCCTGTGTATGGGATTTTAACTTTGCTATATTCACCCAAATAGGTTTGTTTTGAATGCTGTTCTCTAGTCAGAAGTTAATCCCTTCTGAGCTTGATCTACCTTATTGAATTTGAGTGCTGGTGGCCGCTCTACGAGTTAATTCATCTGTGTGCTTTGAAGAAGAATTCAGGGCCCCTTTGGGAAGTGCCAGCCGCTGCGTGTGCAGGCAAAGATGGTGCAACATTTCTGCCCTAGGTTAGCTGTGACGCCTCAGGCACACACCTTCACGGGGAGGGAAGACTTACCTGCAGCCCTGCCTGCCTCTCGAATTGCTCTGGGGATTTTGGGTGGGTGGGTTATTTCTCTGATGTGCTGTGGATTTCACTCCACTGGTGGCCACCTTTCTGTGGCTACTGGTGCCTCAGGGGTCTGACCCCAGTTACTTATTGAAGTCAGGGTGGTGGTGTGTGCTCATGCTGCAGTGACTGGTTGTTAGGTACAAACGGGACCTCTTATTTATGAGCATCTCCTGCTCCTCCCTTCCAGTTACCGCATTATGACTCAGTGTTGGCAGCACCAGCCCGAAGACCGTCCCAATTTTGCCATAATCCTGGAGAGGATCGAGTACTGCACTCAGGTATCGTGTTCATTTGCCCCGAATGAGGCGGGTGGAGAGGGTTCCCGTTGAGGAGCAGCTTGGGCAAGCCAGCGCGTGAGATAAGACGGCAGCACCGCGCCAGCAGTCCAGGGAGACTGCTGGCAGCCTGGGACCAGTGCCTGGGATACTCATCCCTTCGGATGGTTGATCCTTCTTGCTTTTCACTGCCAAAAGGCACAGGTTTACCCAGCTTTACCAACAACGAGCAGACCTGTAGCTCTGCTGCTGCTGCTTTTGAAGGCACAGATCCTAACAGGCAAAAGAGCTAAGGCAGGCCAGCACCCGTATGCGCTTCAGGTGCTTCATGTCAGCCCCTCTGTCCCAGCAGTTGCCCGTGAGACGTGGTCAGCACTGAGCAGAATTGCTCCTGGCTCAGGGCCCCTTTTCCAGGCAGCTTCTGCTGCTGTGGCAATTTCCTGGATTGGGCTGTGTCAGAGAAGGCAGGTGGAGCGAGCCGTGCCGAAGGAGTGGGCATTCTAAGGCAAAGCAGTGGATGAAGGATGTGGCTGGCTTTCCAGGCTGAAATCTGGTTTATTTATTTCTTATTTTCTGTCACCATTTTTAGCTTTTGAGGAGTGGAATAGTTTGGAAAATGTTTTGCTGCCTGCATTGGCACAGGCTTCTTGTTTGGCTTCACAGTTATTTGCCTCAGTCGGTTTGCCTTCCCTCGCCATTTGGGAGGTTTGGGCCATTTTTCATGTGTGTTTGGATCCTGGGATCAGGAGCCACTGTTTTCCGCTATCTGTAGCTTGTACATGTATCTGTAACTTGTACATGTAGCCATGGCATCTAGCAATAATTAAAGGTTGCCCAGTTCACCACATTTGCTCTCAGTTCAATTTTCAAAACTGCTTAAACAGCTCAGAACCGCAGTCCCTAAGGGTTCAGGCTTCAAGGGGTCTGCCGGTATTGCCTTCTCTCTGCATTCCCACCCCTCCCGTGTTGCGTGGAAGCAATACTTTCATGGCGGAAACTACTTCAATATTAGCTGAGAATGTTATGAACTCTGAGATGATATAGATTCCAAAACAACATTCCCACAGGAAATTTGGCTGGACATAAAAAATGTTTTTCATTGGTTTTGTGCTCTCTGCTGTTCTGTGGCGAGTTTTAGGATTACTTCTTTTATTTTAAGAGTTCGATTTTAAGGGTATCCCATCCCATCTCACAGCTAACTGCATTTTGTCAGCATCCTCTACACATGGAATGTGGGCTCTGGGTAGCAGGAACGATGATCTGTGATCATAGCTTGACAGCTGCTGTCAGATGCGTTGGGATTTTGATCCAGTCCAAGTGTGCACGACGGTAGCAGGCTTTGGGGAACTTCTCATTCTTCTCTCCGGCAGGATCCAGATGTCATCAACACTGCTTTGCCAGTAGAATATGGCCCATCAGCTGAGGAGGAGGAGAAGGTGGCGATGCGCCCCGATGATCCAGACGGAATTCCTCCTCTCCTGGTCTCCACGCACCAGGACAGAAAGGATGACAAGCAAACTCTGCCATCTCCACCACCCCTGCCATCAGCCATCACTGCTGGAAAACCTCTAGGGAAAGTGGGAGCCCTGGAACCGCCAGTCCCAGGGAAGGTGCAGTCAGCCTCAGCGGGGGGACATATCAACATGGCCTATGCCCAGTCCAATCCCCCTTCTGAGCTGCACAAAAGCCGGGGCTCCAGAAACAAGCCCACCAACCTCTGGAATCCAACCTATGGTTCCTGGTTTACGGAGAAGCAGGCCAGCAAAAACAGTTCTCTGCTGGAGAAGGAGAAGCCTGAGAGGGAGAATTTGGGACAGGAAGGAAACTGTACTGTGGGACCCAACATTGTGACTGGCAGGCTGCCAGGCTCCTCCCTGCTATTAGAGCCATCCTCCCTAACAGCAAGTGTTAAAGAAGTGCCTCTCTTTAGGCTCCGCCACTTCCCCTGTGGGAATGTCAACTATGGATACCAACAGCAGGGCTTGCCCTTGGAAGCCTCCGCTCCCCCTTGCGCTAGTGGTTTCGAGGACCCTGTCCTTAGAAACAAGAGCCACATAACCCAGCAGGGACCCTGAGAGCCCTCCACCTTCTTGACTTTTCCCCCCTGCGGCCCCTGAGCCTTGAAGAGATGTCCTGTTACCCGACACACCGCGCGCGAGGCATCTGGCAGCGTCACCTCCCGTTTTGTGCCAACTCGCTCCGAAAGTGCCACCCGCGAAACCGTCATCTCAACCAACCCGAGAGGCTTCACGTCGCCGGCGCCCCGGCGAGGGGGGAGGAGGATACAGGAAACACGTTAACTGCAAGGCCCAGCTGCTGTCGCATCCACTCATCCGCATGGTTGTCGTCATGCCCTTCCCGTGAGCTTTTCTCAGTTGTGCGTTCCCTGCGTAAGCGTGAAGCCGCGGCTCGCTGCCTTCGCTGTCTCCTGTCTGGGGTTTTCCGTGCCAAGCTTGTGGCTGCTGTGGAACATCTGGAGATCTGCAGCTGGCTGAGGTTGTAGTGGGTTTGGGGAGAGAATTCTCCATCCAAACCGAGAAAGGATACGACGGCGCTGAATGGTGATGCGGTGGCATGTTCCCACGTTGTGTTCCAGCTACAGTCCCGTCTCTGCAAGTCCTTGAATGCACTGGGGTTACCGGGGTGTTGGCAGGGCAGTAGAAAGACGCTGGTCAGCTGCATCGCTGGGGAGGACAGGAAGCGTGGAGTGTGGCTGTAGATGCCATCAGGCATTCTGGGGCGGGGGAGGGAGGGGTGTTTACTTGGCTGGGGTTTTCCTTTTGTTTTCTTTTTCCTGTACTTAAGCACTGAAACTGAGTAAAGCCCTGTAAAATTCCTCCTGTCCTACGAAAGCAGCAACGTCCTTCATCAGGAACTCGCGCGCGTCAAGTGGAAGCAAGGTGAAGTTTTGAAGGACCACGGTCGTGAGAGAAGCTGTCACCATGCCCTGAGAGCACCTCCGAGGTGCACAACAGCCTTTGACATCCCAGTACAAACAACAGCATAAAGGCGGAAGGCGACGTTGTGCCACAGCCCGGATGCCAGACACTGTCTGTACTTGAAGGGTTCGGAGCCCTCATTCCTCAACAAAACCCGTGTACGATAGTGGTTTAAAGAAAAGCACTGCATTGACTCATTTTGTACACCTTGTGCATGCAAACTCTTCCAGTTAAGTGTATTGTCAAAACATAGACGTAGGAAATAATCCATGTGTAAAGATGTGCGCTAGTAACTTCAACTTAGGGTTGCAAGGAGCTGTTTTAGCATGAACGCTATCCCAAAAAGGGTGCCTGTTTCCGTAGAAATGGGTGTGCTTGGAGCATCAGCAAAGGAATGTGAAGGTGTCCTTCAGGCCGAGACTCTTCGTTTCAGTGAAGTGACTCCGAACGTGGCCCTGGATCCCCACCCGGAGGTAAGCTTCCTGTCTTCATGAGGGAACAAACCAGAATCCGCACGTACCTGCTCCTGACCTTTGAGATGGCTTGGTTCAGGCCACCACCCTCCTAAAAAACCCTTCTGAAAGGGGGAGTAGCGTGCTGTGACATCTCTGCTACCCAAAGCTGAACCCCTTTTTTAGGCGAGTGCCGAAGTTGCGTGTGGCAGTTGGTTGAGGGGCCGTGCTCTCATGTGGGGAAGCTGGAGTCAGGGGCTGCTCCCAATTCCGTGTTCATTTGCTAGGGATCCGTTGCTCTGCTGCTGCCTGGGTTGGGTGGGGACACGGAGGGTGACGCTCCGGGTGTTCTGCGGCCGCGCACAGGCTTCTGCAGCTTTTGCGCCAGGAGGTTATCTGCCGTGGCCGAGGTTATGCCTCGCAGCTCTTGTCACGAAACAGCCCCTGGGGAGGGATTCGGTCAGCTCAGGGCTGTGTTAGTGTCCCTTATACCTCAGTAAACTCAATGGGCTCGTTTGCTAAAGGTGATTAGCTCTGGAGGTAAGCACCGGCAGGGCGACTTCTTACGTTACTCACATACCATAGCAGTTTCCATTTCCGTATTCCAGCTTTCTCTTTTTCAGAAGGACTGAGGCTCCTCCTCGCTTTCTTTAGCTCGCCTTGCATAGGGGCACACTGAGGTTTAGTGGCCCTGCCTCTCCCATGTCACCACGGACAGCCTCCGCCCCATACACCCCCGAGCGTTCTCCAGGAACGCACGAGAACAAAAAGTTGCCAAGTTAATGATCTTGGACAGGCTGAAATCGCTAATTCTTGGCTGTGGGGCAGCAGCTCTGGTGTGGACAAATGCAGATAAGCTGCCAGGTTCTGATGTTAAAGGAGGCGTTTCTGGAGCAGTTCTCAAAGCCCAAGCAGCAAGAGATGAGCGTGAGTCTGCGGGGCGGGGGGCAGTCTCTGCCCTGCCACGGCCACATTGCGGTCACTGCTCTGCAGCTGGTGCTGGGCAGGTACCCCATCAGCTGAAACACCGCTACGGAATGGGAGTGAGCCGTAAAAAACGAAGGAGCGAAACGCATTACTGCTGCTTACCTGTGGAATACGTGAGGGAGATCATTCTGGCCAGGGGGGAGTGGTGAATTCCAGCTGAAATTCTCCAGCCTGCGGGGCCAGGTGCTCTAGCCACACGCTGCCCGGCACCAGCGGCTGGGGTTCACTAAGCTTCCCTCCGGCATCCCCGGTGTGACATGCCCTCTTGGGGGGGTGAGGGGGAGGTTGTGTTGGGTTTTGGTTAGTTGGTTGGTTTTTAAATCTCCCTTTTTAACTCATGAAATTCCGAGGAATTCAGAAATCTGGTCTGAGCTTATTTTTCGTGTACAAACAATCACATCGGTGAGCTCTCCCACAGCATTCCCTCTGGGAGCCCCAGCTGCTGCCCAAGGACAGGACCCCGGGTTGCAAAAAGTGCTTTCAGCAGCAAGGATTGGAGCACTTGCCTGTCCTCTTCGAGGGCAGAGAGCACCGTCAGTGACCAGGGGTTCCGTGAGCTAAGGGGTGCTGTGCTGCTCGCCTGCAGGCTGCGCCCGGGATGCTTAACCTCATGCGCCTGGCCCATTCCCAAGGCATTGCCGGGATTTCGGTGACGCTGCAGGATCTTGTCTGCACTCCGGGGTGACCTGAAGGACCCTTTCCCTGACGGTACCCGTCCCACACCCCAGCGCTCTCAGCACCATCCCAAACTAGCCCGGGGGCACAGAACCGACCCGGCCAGCACACGAGAGCTGCGCTTCCAGTGCTGGATTGCCCCGGGCAGGAGAACTGCTAGCAGCAGTTTGTTCAGGGAGGTAGGAAAGAAGTTCCTGATGGGCTTTCCCAGGGAGTATCCGAGTGGGGCAGAGGGCAATGACAGCACCTGGGCTTTGTGTGCTGGGCTAGAGCTGACGGAGTGCAGTCCAGGGGTTATGGAGGCTCTGTGTGTGAGAGGCGAGTGATTGCCTTGGCACAGCTGTAAGGAGACCGTGCTTAGTTCGGTACAAAAAAGTACTTTGTAGGACTGGTATTAGCACTTCTCTTACCCCCTCTGGAGTGTTCATGTCTCTTCTGTTCCAGCTCCCAGCAGGTTCATTCCCACACGCTTCCCATAGCTGTGTGCCGTTAGCGAGAGCACTCTGCCCAGGCATCAACTGGGGATTTTTAATTCCTGTCTCCAGAAAGATTCACCTGTTCAGTTCTCACAGCTGCAGGGAGCAGAAGGGGCTGAAGCGACCATGAGCTCACCAGACCTAAGCCCCCTGGCATGTGTAAATCCCCAATTCCCTTATGAAACCCGTCCATGCCAGGCTTACAGGGTTGTAGGAGAAAAAAGGTCAAGTTGTGTTAACCCTTTTTACCCATTTTTTATATGATTTTTTTTTAATATATTTTATTGAGACAAAAATTCAGACTGTTAATCTTTTCCATTGGCAATATTTACATTCTGCTCTTATGATTTCCTCACTCTACAGTGGAAAAGCGGGAAGCAGTAGCGTGATCTACGGGATATAGAGCGCGACAAGGAGAACCCCATGTTACCACTCTCATACTCTGAAGATGGCCTGTTCCCACCTGGACCTTACCCCTTCCCTAGAGACGTTAGGTAGGTTTCTGACGCTGCCAGCTGCTGAGGGTGCTGGGGTGCCAGTTACCC